AGGAGAACGACTGAGGGTAGTGCCACCGGCATCCAGTGGACCCTCACCAAACAGCTGGAGGACCTGGATTTGCAGATGACGTCAGCCTTCTGTCCCACAAGCAACAGCATGCACAGTCCAAGCTCACCCGGCTCGCTGAGGAGCAGGAAAGACCGGCCTGAAGATCAACACCAGAAAGATGGAGGTGATGCGGCTGAACAACAAACAAGAGTGCCAACTGCAGCTGCGGGGAAAAGACATCAAGGAAACAGAGCGCTTTGTTTACCTTGGAAGCATAGTAAGCAGAGACGGTGATTCAGACTATGACGTTAGGAGCCGGATCAACAAAGCAAGGCTCACGTTCAACACCCTGCGACCCATCTGGAACTCCAAAGCCTTATCCCTGCGCAGCAAGATCTGCATCTTCAACACAAATGTAAAAGCAGTCCTCCTGTATGGGTCCGAGACATGGTGAGTTACGAACACCATCACCAACAAGATACAGATGTTCATCAACAAGTGCCTGCGACACATCCTAAACATCAGGTGGCCAGAGAAGATCTCAAACACAGAGCTATGGAAAAGGAACAACCAGAACCCAGTCAGCCAAGACATCAGGAAAAGAAAATGGGGCTTGATTGGACATACACTGTGAAAACCGGTCGACAACGTTACAAGGCAGGCCTTGGATTGGAACCCACAAGGGAAAAGAAAAGCTGGGAGGCTAAAACAGATGTGGAGGAGATCGGTCGGGAGTGAAGCGAAGGCCACCGGAATGGCGTGGACCCAGCTGAGGAGAGCAGCCCAGAATAGAGTCCGTTGGCGAGGTGTTGTTGCGGCCCTATGCTCCACCGGGAGTCTATAGGATTAAGTCAAGTCATGTATTGAAGTGTGATTGTTCGAAGTTGTCGGAAGGAACAGCTGTGACTGAATACAGTGTATTTTGGTTTGATGTTAGAAAGTTGTGACTGAATACAGTGTATTTTCTTACATCAAACCAAAATACACTGTATTCAGTCACAACTTTCTTACATCAAACGAAAGTTGTGACTGAATACAGTGGAAAATATTACATCAAACCAAAATACACTGTATTCAGTCACAACTTTCTTACATCAAACCAAAAGTTCAGTATCATCTCAATCTTCTTTTTTTAAGATGTTAATTTTTTAGGATTCAATTTGAAATAAAATGTTTTGTAAATTGTAGCATAATGTGTCTAAAGTTATTATAGCAGTAATTTTCTCAAAGGACTATCCCTTCTCAATGTGTGAATATTTTCTTTTAAGTGTTTACATCTAAAGCTAAAAGTGGACTACTCGAATATATGGAAGTAGTATTGTTAACTTGTATTGATCTTGACTGTTAATTCCAAATAATTTCTACCACAAAGCTTATTGGTTGGAGTTTATAAAATCCACTCATTAAAGCTTTGTTTCTTTTATTACTTTTGGATTTGTAACCAAAATACAAGGCCATGCTGAGATGCAAAAGTGCCTGTTTTTCCTATGTTCATTTCATTGAGATTCTAGCCTCAAAGGAAAATGAAATAGCCACAAAATTTATTCTAAATCAGTTGTTCCCAACTAACTGGGCAAGCCCCCTGGTGGGTGGGGTAGAATGACCCGTAAGTAAGCTGATTACCCAAAATGACTAAAATTAAAAGGTGGCAATAATGGGGTTGAGAAAGTGTATAGATTATTGGCCTATATATTTTTGTCATGCTTGCTTTGCTTAAAGGAAACACAGTAAGTAATACAATCAGTTAAAAGAGAGAAAATTGGTAAGTTGAAAATAAATTTACAATCAGCCTTTCTCACATTCTTTATGTTGTGAGCACTGTTAGAAGCTGAGTAGAGAATGTTACTGGGAAAGTGGGGGATGTAGGGAAAAAAATGGTAACACTTAAGGGGGCTCAGGATGGAAAAGGTTGGAAACCACCATTCTAAATTTCTTTAAAGAAAGACATAAAAATTCATCCCTATCAATAATTAAAGTAAATTCAATGTTTTTGTTCTGAAGATTTTGACAATGTCTCTACTTAAGTAACTACAGTTTTATAAAACCATAAAATGAATACGTTTCACTTCTACATAGTGTATTATTTTACATAATAATGAAACTGGCTATGAATATTTTCTATTTATAATGTTATAGATGACACCCTTGAATCCATCCATCATTAGCAGTATAAATAATACTGATATTTCTTTTTTCCTGTTGAAAATAAATACGGTTAAGGCTTACTGTACTTTTTGCTTTAGTCTACTATTCCATGTTTGACTGGTTCTAGAGGGTATAATTCCTAATTACTAACTGTAAACTAAACCTATGCAAACACTAAAGTCACGAGGCATTTAAAACAGTGAAGCTAATTAATTAACACTAATAACCTTCTTAACGTATCAAAAAAGAAACGAACACCATTAATGAGAGACTACCTCTTAATGAGATGTAGTTTGAAGAGCTTATTGCTTTTCTTTTAATAGCTATAATAAATGGAAACTGTGTTCTTTTTATGGAAGGAAATAAACTACATTACAAACAAGAAATCAATAAAAATGACATATATTACAAACATTTGAAAAGCTATCTCTTTCACAAACATTTTAAATTCACTTTTGCTTCTATTAACATCTGGCTTGGCATGGCCAGGTGGTTAGGGTGCTCGACTCGTAATCTGAGGGTCACGGGTTCGAATCCCCATCCCACCAAACATGCTTGCCCTTTCAGCTGTGGGGGCATTATATGTGACGGTCAATCCCACTATTCGTTGGTAAAAGAGTTGGTTGGCAGTGGGTGGTCATGACTAGCTGCCTTCCCTCTTGTCTTATACTGCTAAATTAGGGATGGCTAGCACAGATAGCCCTCATGTAGCTTTGCGCAAAATTCACAACAAACAAACAAACTATTAACATCTATGTTTACTGAATTTATATTCCACACACAAAAGAAATAAAACCTATGTTACCCACTCTTTCTGCAGTGTCATAATCAAGTCTAAAAGCCCACAACCTAAGCCTTGCTTCTAATTCACTGATTGAGGAAAGAGTCAGAAGGAACTGCTCAGCAGTACCTAGTGGCACTTCTGTATTATTCATTTGAGCTTCTACTATTTTGTTTTTTTCATCTTCTGTAGGCATCATTGTTGACAGGATTTTCTGCAAGTACATACATGCAGTGTAACTTGTTAATAACAAAAATACTGATTCATATACAATAAAAAATGTGTTTTACAGTTCAAAATAATACATGAAAATGTTTCTGTACAAATAAGATAAAAAAATTTTATTTGAGTCAAACTTACACAGGCAATAGCAATGGAAGACATATTTCAGAGATGTAAAACTAAATGGTCTGACTAGTGGACTTGGTTTTTTCATAATTGATTCTCAAGAGTAGTCAAGGTTTTTTTAGCTAAGAGGGATGAAGCATTAAATGCATGAAAGTAATCATTAACTAACACAGTTAAGGTCGTGAATACATTTTATACTCTTGATACCCACATTTCGTGTCACAGGCAAAAGGATGACTTGTCTAGGCAAATAATCATCTGCCTAAAATTACTGTTTGCATGCAATATATCCACCATAGCATTTGATATGTTTGTTACTTTTCTATGTAAAAATTTTACTTTGCTATGTGTATTCTCAGGTTGAATAAGATAACAATTTTCACGCTGTAGACAGATCAAAAATTAATTATGTTTGAAACAATATTCGGTTTAGCTTTAAGCTCTTTACCTTCACCAACACTTGGCTCTGGCTTTTCCTAAGTGGAAAACCTGTGTCCATACATACAGCAAATGCCTAGGCAAATTGTAAAATGCTGAATAAATTATTATTGTTTTACTATTTGCCATGGCATTTAGTATTTCCCTAAAGTTACTACTTACCTGTGATATATAGACTAACTTTTACTATTAATGAAACATTGTCAGAATTAGATCCAGATTCTTACCTCTATCCCTTCCCTATTCACAATGGTGCTGTCCATCTTCAAGATGGCTGTCTTGATTGTCCTCGGTGGTGGTAGCTTAGTCATTCCTATGTTAATCGCATTTGACCTTTTCGGATCTAATACCACAATTTCGTTTTTCTTACCTTCTTGGTTTTTCTGTGTTCAACCAATTATTAATAAGCATGAAAGTTATGACAAAAATGTTAACAAATTATAATAATTTACTGTTAACTTTATTCTAATGAGTCTTACTGAATATTTTATCTTCATAATATGTGATTTTTTTGATAAAGTTATTTTTTTCTTATAGTGTGTTCTTATGTATGTTATAAAAACTTTTATTCTATATAATGTTTAATTTATGACACTTCACTAATAAATGTCAACTTAACAATATCATGATTAAAGCAAGAATGAAAACTAAACGTAGCTAAACGAAAATATTTTTAGAAGAACGACAGAGAGCCTTTCTTTATAATTTTGACACAATTATATCAAATTTGGTGCTTAACATTTGAAGTTCAATATTATTAATAAAAATCTATAGAAATAGCTGGGATTGTATTCACTGGAAGTTAGGTAAGTAAAGAATGTATTCACTGGAAGTTAGGTAAGTAAAGAATGTATTCACTGGAAGTTATGTAAGTAAAGAATGTATTCACTGGAAGTTAGGTAAGTAAAGAATGTATTCACTGGAAGTTAGGTAAGTAAAGAATGTATTCACTGGAAGTTATGTAAGTAAAGAATGTATTCACTGGAAGTTAGGTAAGTAAAGAATG